AATAGAAATAATTACAAGAGCAGTACAAACAACTGCAGCTGTTTCAAAACTAAAAACATGTCTGGAAAAACAAGAATATCAGGCTAAAATCAAAAATCTGACTCTTGACATCATTAGCCTCCTCAATCTTTCTGTATGTCTGCAAATCTTGGACATTAACAGCAGAATTACAATGAAGAATCCAAGCAGTGGAAATGAGATGCTTAGAGTACATCACAAATGATGTAGTGTCAGATACCATCAAACTAACCTGTCTCTGGCAACTGTAGAATATATCAACTTCACCCCCTCAGTGTAAGACCCCCTACCCAAAGTTTCAGATCTTCATTTCTAGAATGATGAAATATCATCATCATGAATTATAACATACCTATAAAACATAGGTTTACTCTGTAAGTATAAAATTATGTACAAAATATCTGTAGTCGGAACCATAAAATTACATACGAAATATTTAGGGTTCAGCATTAAATAACCCATAAGGTTTGATATGCTGCTCAACAAAATCCACCAAACAAAACAAAATCCACCAAACAAAACAAAATCCACCAAACAAAACAAAATCCACCAAACAAAACAAAATCCACCAAACAAAACAAAATCCACCAAACAAGAAAAAAGCCTATTGAAAAACATATCCACTGATGTTGAGATGTTGAGTGTTTCCGCGTGCGTGTATTGAAATAAGGACAAACATATACGTAAGGAAAAATACTGGTATAACTGAAGAGGTATTTACAACAGAGAGATTAGTAGTCAAACGAACGCAGGTTAGTCAGTAACAATCAGAAAGAGTATAAAGTCCAACTGTATCTTCCGGTAGAGAGACGGAAGTGTGATGGTCACCTGATCTTCTCAGAACTCTATAGAACTGTCCTATTAGTAGTAGAGAGATCAGTCCATTCTGATGAGAAGGTGGATGTGCCCCAACAACTGAGAAGGAGAGAAAGTTGAAATCATATGGACACATCATAAAATTTAACACTCTTTCCACTGCTAAAGGTTCCATTTGAGGGCAAAAAAAGAAGCAGCAGACAAGAAAAAATGGGCGGACAATGTCATTGAGTGGACTGGAAAATCATTCACAGAGACTCAGACATTGGCACACACCCAAGACTTGATATATGGAAGGAGATGGTCAAATGGTCTGCTATGTAACAATCCTATGACCACACCCAGTCAATTGACTGATGATATGGCAAAATCTAAATCATTTACACATAAAGAACATTTTTTTTTAATCATTTCACCCCAAGGAAGGTGATAATGCCACTATGATACAGTGTGTTACAGGGAACAAAAGAGAATGAGAAAACTTTAGTGATAAAGAGAAATGACACTAAAGGAACAAGGTTCAGGAAGACAGATGATGGTGATTGACATTGCATTTAAATTATAGAAGATTATATGTGGCAGAGGAGCAAGAAATTAGAAGGGAGTTTCACAGGGAGAAAGTGCAAGAAAAGAAACTATTAGAATAGGACAACTGGTTGCATCTAGCTTGTTCAACAGTAAAAGGATGAGACCTAATTGCCAATCTAGTAGCATTCTTAAATTCATGCAGTTAAGTCGCTAAGAAAAAAAAGTTCATCAGAACAGTTGCTATGAAAATATTTGTAAAAAGACAGAGGGAAGACATGTCATGGTAAGAAAGTGACTGAAGTTGAGATGTCAGGTCAAGATTAATTATGTTACAGATTATTCTTTGAATTTTATCAAGAACCCTGAGATATATAGTAGAAACACCAGACCAGATAAGGCAGCAATATTCAATGCATGGACAAATGGTAGCTTTATAAATGTTTAAGAAGGATTCTACCTAGAATAATTGTCAGACACCACACAGTGAACCAACTTTCCTAACAGCAGACCTAACAATTGATTCAATATAATCTTTCAACTTCATACTAGCAGACAATGTTGGAAGTCCTGTTCAAGAGCAGCAGCCAGATTTACTTTGTCAGATCTGTCAGACTTGCTACTATCTTTAATAAAGAATAAAATACACACAAATACAGTTTAATTTTGTTGTTAAAAGTCCAAATATCTGTTCATCTCTTGCTAACATTATCTGGATATGGTGCTAAACATTCCAATCGGATCAGTCAGCCAACATCAATACTCTAGGTTCATAGGTGTAGTGATATAGCCACGGATGGCCATGTGGTGTTAGATTATTTGCAATAATGCTTAATACTACGAAAGACATTTCTTCCTAGGAGTGTGGAAGTGGGGTACTAGAGATGTGGCCCAGGATCCAAGTGGGTGGCAGCAAGTAAAATTTTGCAAAACAATGATGTAGATCAATTCATCTGAAAACTTTTAAAAACATTTTTCATTGGATTTTATTTTAATGTTTAAAACTTGAAGAAACTATATGATTCTGTTAAAGACCCTCTGCAGAAATATGAGGTACATAATGACATAAAACTTCTCATTAATCTTGTCACATGTCATGGAAAATGTCAAACTTCACTTTTGCTTCTTTAAGGTCTTACCAGATCAGTTTCTGTCTGAATTTCTGGGATGCCGCGTTATCATTATTTACACTATTTATATTCAGACTATTGTCCTCATCTTTGTTGTTGTTATCACAATGTTTCAGCCATTGTATCCTCCAGCCTTCCTCAGGTGTATATCAACTTGGCTAACCTACAGGGAATCCTGAACTGAACCTTTTTATTAATCTATGTGGGTAGACTGTTCTCGTTCCACTGCTCATGTCTAGGGATATCTTATCTAGTTCTTATTTTTTGTTCAGTACTGCTCAGTTATTGCTTGCCTATTTCCATTTAGTGCAAGTTCACACTGCCCAACCCAGAGATTGAACTCTCAATCACTATATCACCAACTTCACAAACCAATGCATTAATCCACTGGGTCCCAGCTTTAAGCTATGTTTCAGCTATTGTGATCTCCGGTCTTCATCAGGTAATTATCAATCCTGCTAACCTTCAGTGAATTTCAAACTGGACTCTTTATTTAATCTATGTTGGTAGGCTGTGATCGTTTCACTGTCTATGTCCAGGGATATCTTATCTTAGTTCTTATTTAGTACTGCTCAGCTATTGCTTGCCTTTCATCAGACCCTATAGAAATGGTTCCCAAACTTTTTTCTCTGGGCTGCATTTTCGGAATGCTTTACAAAATTTCACCAAATTTACATTATTTACATTATTCGGACTATTGTCCTCATCTTTGAACCCTTTATTTCGCTCACTGGGGTAGACTGTTCTAGTTCCACGTGCCATGTTTAATGGATGTCAGTTATCTCCTGTTAATTCCCCTCTGAAAATTCTCCACTGCCTTAACTGGGTATTGAACTGTGCCATGTGTCCTCCAGGACACATGGCACAGTGGATAAAGGTGTTGGTTAGATCCAGTGACAGAACCCAAAGAGTGTGAGTTCAATACCCGGTTAAGGCAGTGGAGAACTTTCAGAGGGAAATTAACAAGAGATAACTGATAACTGACACCCATTAAACATGGCACGCGGAACTAGTGAGCGAAATAAAGGGTTCAGTTCAACATTCCAACCACCTGAAGAAGGCCGGGGTGTACAACAGTCGAAACGTTGTAATAAATATGGCGACAAAGATGAGGACAATAGTCCGAATAATGTACATAATACCTCATCTCAGAAATATAGACACTCACCAAATTTTATGCGATAGAAAGTACATATAACAAATAAAAAAAATAAACAGAAGGTGAAAGGGAGATAACCATGGATTCAAAGTCAGAACATTATCATTGATAACTCTCTCCTCCAATTTGTGGAGCCTACTTACTATATTCTTAATACTTGATATACTATGCAAAAATATCAATGAAAAAATCAGTCAATAATTATTTATACTGGGATTCATGCATGCAATTGCAAGTAATCCATTATATTTTAAATTTTGTAATCAAATTTATTTTTGGTATATAAATTTTTTGAAACTGTTTCTAAATTTTTGATTGTCTTTCAATCATTCTGCCTCACCTGCAATTATCTTACGCCGCACCTATGAGGCACGTCGAGCCATTTGGTAACCACTACCCTATAGACTGGTTTTAAAGAAACACAGTGCTTTATTAAATAACAAAACTCACATCCCTTTAAGACTTCCAACAGCAACAACAACTAAAATGGATAGCATGTGTAACTAGAAAGAGAAATTATGATATAATCAAGATGTTGACTTTCCACATAACTTTAAACAAAAAATTAGGAAGGAAACCTCTGTCAATACTAGGAAGAGTATTAGGAGTGAACTCAAGAAACCTATTTTCCTGAGCAACTGTTTTAAGAAAAAAAATTTATAAATTTCATCCAACAGTAACACTAAATGTTCTGGAAATGAATGTCAAATGTTTCCTTATAAGGAAACAGCTAATTTGGCCATAAAAACATTCCATTGTATAAATGTGTTTATAGATAACGACATCTATCAGAGAGATGAAATTTAAATTTTTATTATTCCAAAATTTTAACACATCAGCAGATAGCTGTTAATATCAACAACTGAGCACAAATAGTTATTAATTAAAAAAATTAGTAATTAATGTATAATATACATAACTACATGTACAAGACTGTCATTGATAAAAGTTAACAAATAACCATAAATACGTAATTCCTTTTTCCACAATATAGATATTTGTGCTATGTTTTAATGCTTATTACCTAAACAATAAAAATACTGAATAATGTTTTTTAAACATTAAAGTATATTTAATCACATCTCCCTAATAGCTGTCGTGATCTGTTAGTCCAAGAGACTTAATCATTCTTATTGGGCTATATGTGCAAAGGGAGATAACTCTTATCAGCCATATTTACCTTTCCTGCTGAACCAGAATCTCTTTTTTTTAAGCTTTAAAGTATATTTAATCACATCTCCCTAATAGTTGTCACGATCTTTTAATAACATTAAAACGAACAGAAATCTGCAAAGTTGTCTCCCCTTTACTTTTCCATGGCAGTCTCTTTTTATTTGTTTTTCCTTCTCTAGATTTTGGGATGATTGGATGCGTCATCCAGAACAGAGGAAAAATAGGGTCTGTATCAGACCAGAAATCTGTCGGACAAGCACCTTTGGAAAGCAAGGTGTGAGCAAGTAAGTTTATCTTTTTTACTTTCTTTTACTAGAAGATAATATACAAGTTTAACTTATGAAAATCATAGAATTGTGAAACTGGTAAAGTTACTATCAATAAATGTTCTTAAGACTCCAGTTGCATTTTCAACTTCATATATGCTTTCCAATATATATTAATAAACATACATTTTTTTGGATTTTACATGAATACTGGTGAGGAAAATATGTATGTTTATTAATGTATAATTTGTAATAGTTCTGTCATATTACATCAACCACTATTTTTTAACACCAGCACTTAATGTGCAATATATATATATATATATATATGTATATATATGAAGAAAAATATACTGAAAAAACAAACAAAAATCCTAATATGCGATTATGCTGTTTTAATGTTTAATGTCAATGTTGGACGTTTTGGTCTAATAGACCATCTTCAGGACATATTCATAAAACATAATTAACAATCTTTTATAAGATCAGTGTTCTTTTATAAGAAGATTTCAGTTATCTGTTTGGATGGGTATTGCTTTTATTTCCATTGTCTTTTTCATGTTGAATTGTATATGGTCTATGTTAATTATGTTTTATGAATATATCCTGACGATGGTCTATTAGACCGAAACGTCCGTCGTTGACATTAAACATTAAAACAGCATAATCGCATATTAGGATTTTTGTTTGTTTTTTCAGTATATTTTTTTCATACTGTCGGATCTATATCCATATATTTGCTTATATATATATATATATATTATATATATATATATATATATATATATATATAGTCATCCACAGACAGACTGTTTTGTGGTTTCACAGCTGACCAGTGTGGCTAGACATCTGATTGCCTCAAGCCAGGAGTGAAACTCGACTGATTTGGCATCAAATTTTACCTCTGACCAATCAGCATTTCGTTGAGAGGAAGGTGAATTTTTACATACTTACTCTTTCAATAAACATACCAATGACCGATAGGGCTCAATTCATAGAAGAGGTTTGTAATATTAGCAGCAGTAGTCATTGTTTACAAATTCATGCTTTTCTCCTTATATATATATATATATATATATATATATATATATATATATATATATATAAGATAAAATTATACATACATCTGCATGTATGTATAAATATATTTCTTTCACAGGTGTTATAAGTACAGTGCTCAATGTTATTTAACAGAGCTATAAGTATATATCCAACATTGATAGCATGACTTGGACAGAAACTATGTTGAGCGGACATTAGTAACAGTTTCTGGGAGAGAGCACATTATCTAGTGTGATCAACAGTCTGAACATGGCCAGCACACTCAAACCCTCGGTCATGATGACTTGTGATTTTGTGCTGGCACAACCAATGACAGCTACTGGTGAGGAAAATATGTATGTTTATTAATGTATAATTTGTAATAGTTCTGTTATATTAATTCAAGCACTATTTTTTAACACCAGCACTTAATGTGCAATATATATATATATATATATATATATATATATATATATATATATATATATCATCCACAGACAGACTGTTTCACTGTATTACAGCTCCTTAGTGTGGCTAGACAGCTGATCGCTTCAAGCTGGGACTAAAACCTGATTAATTTGGTGTCAGTCGGAGATTCTAACCCATAGGCTATCGACGCTCAGCAGAGAGAAAGGCAAATTTTTGTGTACTTATTTTTTCATAAACATGCCAGTGACCTAAATATATAGCTTCAAGAATACATAAAACAGTTGAAACCTAACCTGAACAAAATAAACTACGAAATCTCCACAAATATTCTTAAATGCCTATAATTGATAACAGAAGCCATTGGTTTATACCAACGGATTTCCATGCTTAATACTTTTTGTTTTCACTATCGCATGGTCATGTGTGATGTCACGAGCTGCGATGTGTCTTGTATACATGAGTTAGTTGTTGCTTTGAAATTTTTCATGCAACAAAAATCAATATGGTGATTTACTTTTGTCTTTCAATGATAATGTTATTAAGCTTATCAGACAATATGAAAGGAACTTACTTAAAATAAATAGACAAAACATGTCTATATTATTTAATGAAACATGCATCAATGAAAAATTGTTTCCTAAATATACACAATATATATATGTATATATATATATTTATTATAATTTTTTCATATTGACAAAAACATTTATATATTTATCTATATGAAAAACTTTTAATAAATGATTATTGCTCTACTATCAGTATCGAGCCCTCTTTTGGATTAATGCTGTGAACATTAGAAATTATATATTATTTTCATTCTCATTGCATCAGATATATATATATATATATATATTTCTGAGATGAGGTATTATGTACATTATTTACATTATTCGGACTATATTTATTGCAATATTTTGGCTGTTGTACGCTCAGGCCTTCTTCAGGTGGTTGGAATGTCGAACTGAACCCTTTATTTCGCTCACTGGGGTAGACTGTTCTAGTTCCATGTGCCATGTTTGATGGATGTCAGTTATCAGTTATCTCCTGTTAATTTCCCTCTGAAAGTTCTCCACTGCCTTAACTGGGTATTGAACTCACACTCTGGGTCCTTGAGAACACATGGCACAGTGGATAAAGGCGTTGGTTAGATCCAGTGACAGGACCCAAAAGTGTGAGTTCAATGCCGGTTAGGCAGTAGAGAACTTGAGAGGGAATTAACAGGAGATAACTGATAACTGACACCAATTAAATACGGCACGTGGAACTAGAACAGTCTACCCCAGCTAGTGGTAAAGGGTTCAGTTCGACATTCCAACCACCTGAAGAAGGCCGTGGAGCGCAATAATAACGAAAAATTGTAATAAATATGGCGACAAAGATGAGGACAATAGTCCGAATAATATAAATAATGTGTGTATATATATATATATATATATATATATATATATATTAGATGATATGTTTCAGATATTGTCTACCAAGATGCTTTATAATACTTAATACTGTAATATTATTGTGCATGTGACCGAGTGGTTTAAACCTTTGTTTTCCGACTATGAGAGCTGGGTTTGAATTTCAACATAGTTGATTTGTTAAGAAGGTGATATCTTTATGTTATTGGTCAATGGAGGCAACCCCAGTGTGTGGCACCTTTGGAAAGGGCTTGAAAAACACACCACGCGTTGTCCCAAGACTTGTAAGTGAAATTTTGTAGACAGAACCCTTTTGGAGCCATCGATGGTTGTGTTATCATGAAGTTACAAGTCATCGTGAAAGAAGGTTAGAGCGTGCTTGCCTTGTTCATGCGAGATAACACGATCTTTCCTAGAAACCGTAACTAAGGTCTGCTCAGCATAGTTGTAGTATAAACCACAGGTGGGCTCTGTGGGTGTTGAATAAATGCACATGCCTGAACCAGTGTCTGCAACAAGAAATGGCCAACCACCCCAATAATCAGGTATACTCAGATATGAGTGACCAGCCATTACTGAAATATTAAATATAAATAGGGGAGTGACCTTATAATAGTCTACTAAGCATACGGTGTGTTACATAGATGTGGCACAAAACTGTAAGTATCAAGCACCCAGTGAGGATCGAACTCACTCAGTCAGTTATGTACCATGCATGCTTAGGTGATCATGTATTGTTTGATACATGACTGACGAGGCAGATTTTTTCCTGCAGTAGTTTGCCATTTCTTTCTGCAGTACACCAGTTGCCATCCAAGGCTATAGAACCCAGTCTGTCCTGCTATTTACCCATAGCTGGGGGAGAAGAAGAGGATTCATACCTTTCCCCAGGGTATTAGCACATAAGTGAGTGTAATGGATTCGACTGGAATTTGAACTCGGCTCTCCAATTCGTCACTCCAAGCTGCTATCCAATACTAGACCATGCTTCAAACTCACTTCTCAGTCATAACCAATCTAGCAAGACAATCTTGCTAACCATGTTGAAATGTCCAAGGAGGCAATCTTACATGCCATCAAGTATTGTAATATTTCTGACTTCTAAAAGATGGTATATACCATCTGATATTTTAAAGTCGTGTGTTTATGCCAGATGAAATGTTGAAGATTTAATTAAAGCTTGATTGACAATGTGTTTTTTTTTCTTTTTTTTTAATTTTAAAAACTTTCAGGGGTCAGTTCTTTGAGAAGCATCTGAAATACATCAAACTCAATACAATGTATGTGCCTTTCACCAAGAAAGATCTTTCTTATCTCCTTAAGGTAAGGATTTTTTTTAAATTTTTATCCTTAATAACCCTTCTCCCAACTCCCACAAGAATAGCTGTTGAATAAGTGGATTAGATTTCTTTCTTGTAATAAATATGGAATACAAATATGTTCAAAAGATTATGCCTTGCTGAGTAAGATGATAAACTACGTCTAACAGCAAGGCCTCTTATCAGGAGGTTTTGAGGAGTGTGGAGCCACCTCCTAATTGCTGCTGTTCCCAGGCCCACTTTGACTCGGGGTGTAGCATCTGCTAGGGTTCCAACTATAAGCAAATAGTTAGCCCCTAAACTGGGGTCAAAACTCTATGAAAGTGTAAAAATAAGTTTTAATACCAGAAATACTTCTTTTTGTAAAAAAATTACCAGCAAGGAATTTTTAAAGAAAAATTCTTACCAGGAATACATTATTATCAGCAATACATTTTTGAAAAAAAAAAAAAAAATATATATATATATATATATATATATATATATATATATATATATATATATATATGTATATATATATAAAATTACCAACAATACATTTTTGAAAAAATTTACAGCAATAAGATTAAACCAACATTAAATAACCTATTGAGGTTGATATGCCGTAAACCAAACCAAACCAAAAGATTGTGTATCCTTAAAAAATAATTGCTCTTATTTGTTTCTTTTGAAACTGACATTTTTTAAAATCATTTCACCCCAAGCTAGGCAATAGAGCCACTAAGACACAAAAGGTTACTGAGTGAAAGAATATAAGAAAAAGAGAAAACATCATGAAGGAGAAAAACAATAGAAGAACAGGAATTAAGAAGACAGAAGAAAACAATTGACATTGCATTTAAATTTTTGAAGATCAAAGTTGGCTAGAAAGGAAGAAGCTGGAAGAGAGTTCCCCATGTGAGAGAAGAAATTACTAACGTAGAACTTATGTTTGCATTTTGTCATTTGAGACCATGCCACCAATCTAGTACTTTGTTTTAATTTCATAGAGTCTCACTTCCAAAGAGGAAAGTTCATCAGAACAATTACCCCAAAAATATTTATAGAAAAAATAACATTGCAAATTCTTCTTTGGATTTTATGAAATATCTCTAAATATATAGCAGGGTCACCAAACTATATGTGGCAGCAATATTCAAAGCATGGATGAATGGTAGACTTATAAATATGTAAAATAGTTTCTGGCAGGAAAAAATTGTCTAGTACTGTGGTGAACAGCCCCGTAGAAGCAAGCGAGCCAGAGTGGCTTGCATCTGGTGTATAGGAAAATAAGAGTCTTACCTTAACGTGTGGCACGTGACATCAGTAAGTTTGCTCCATGAAAATGGCATTACTCTTCTGTCCAGCCATTCTAGTACGTGCAGTGATGAGGGTTTTTTTGTACAGTTTGGCATGCTTCCATCAATAGCAAGTCGTGTGCTGATTGGTCAAATTGGAGGAGGCAATTTGTCTGTGTAACCGAGAATAAAAGTGAAGAACGCTGATTGGTTGGAGAACCGTGGTGTTGGCCTGATAAAAGAGGGCTGGAGCAGTAAAAACAGGAAGGAACAACGGCTATACATAGTGACGTGTTCAGAAAGTGAGGATGGTGAAGTGAACCAGCGATATTGTGATTTGTACAAGTGACATTGCAGCTATACAGACTTATTTAAATTACAAGTACAATACAAGGAATTAACTTTCTTGGCAGTAGGCTTACACCCCTGCACAGATTAATTGAAACAACCACTTTAGTTTCCTTTCTTCCACCATATGGTCAGTTTTAGCCCCACTGGAGTGTTAGGGTGTAATCAATCTTTATTTTTCTCTCAGATTAGGTCATTTGCAGTAGTGTGCAGTAATATGAATCTATTTTCAGAGTGTGTGATGAAATTTGTTTGACCTTGAAAAATATTGCATCATTTGTGAATGCATCAGATTTTTATCACACCCAGACACTATTGTCTTGACTGTCGATGAGTTGTCCTACGGCCATTGTCTGTGATGGACGCTACTCCAAGGAAGCTTATGAAAATTGTAAAGCTGCATGAACATACTGGCAAGCCTTACCAGTGATCAAATCAATATTTCTATAGACTGGTCCTAAAACTCTGCTGATTTAAATCCAATTGAGAATCTGTGGTCAATCTACAAGGAACAACTTCGTGGAATGGCCATACGAAGTACTAACATGTGCACTGGGTCATGTTTCATTGGAAAGAATATGAAAAACAAGTAAATAATAATGAAATTATTTGTTTTATTTCAATTAATTTGCACAAGAGTGTAGCAATTGATTTCATATAATCTTTCCCCTTCATGTCAGCAGATAATGTTCAACCAAGGCGGTGCAATCTGTCACTTTCTTAGAGTTTAGCATTAGCCATGCTGATGTCTATTTTTTCCTTATTTTTTCCCAAACTTTACTTTATTTCTTGAATTTATATACTGCTAAACAATTAATTTTATGATAATAATAAATAAAGCATATAATTATTGTAACCTAGGAAAGGCTACTGAATAGAATAATCACACAAAGAATGATAATACTTAGGACAAGAACAACACATATAAGATTTGCCAGTGGCGTGTAGAAGTAGTAGTCAACTGCTAGAAGTGAGTCAAGTGAATTCCACAATGAATCTCCAACTGCAGGATATCTACTAACCTCCCCACATGGTCAGATGTGGCACAAGACAAAATTTAATGTGGGGTATCCGAGCCTGTAGGTTCAGCCAAAAATTCCCTGTAGACCCCAAAATGGGGTCAGGTAGCTGTTTCCTGAGATGAGACTCTGCCCTTCAGCATAACCTCATCTGGGGACCCTCTGCGCCTGGAGGCAGAGAGTTTGACCAGCACAGCTGGAGATGAATCTCCAACTGCAGACCAACATACAATATTTACTACTGTATTTATGTGAATTGGGACATACCCATTATCGTCTGTAGGTATGCTACAACAATAATAATTGTGCTTGTCCTTCCCTTTGTCAGTTAAAATGACCTTTATGACCTGCCAAAACTTCATAAATGATGGACTACTCCATTTTAATCACTTAGAAGGCAGATTACATATCAAAGTAGCTACTTAGTTTCAGTGGGAAAATGAAAGAAAGAAAGGAAGATAGAAATATTTAATGTCTGTTTCAGTGAAATAAAAAACATTGTCAATTTCAAATCTTTTCATTTGTACCCACTTCTTAACAACCAACATTCATATTTATGCTTGTTATTGCAATATTTTGTTAAAGTTGTTAAGCTCAAATATTTAATATGATAGGGAAATTTCTATGGATATTTTGTTGTCATAGAACTTACAATCAGCTTATTCAATCATTAACTGAAAATTTTCAAATATGAAAACTGAAATTTTCACTGGTTAAAACCAATAAATAAATAGCATGGGGATGCGGAAATACCATTATTATTAATTAATTATTATAATATTAATACATTATATTGATCTTTTGTGATGTACGGTGGCTATTAATAATTAAGTATAATTCAAGACTTCAATGCTAAGATAAAACAATATTTAATTACAACTGTAAATAAATACTTAACAAGAACAAAGAAGTAAAAGTCAACCAAAAATAATTAACCCTTTCAGTGAATACTTTGTTAGTAGCATGTTTTGGCTTATCATCTGGTAAATCCTAAATCAAAACCCAAATCATTGACACACAATAATTCACACTAATTCGACTGGATAGTTCCACTCAATAGTCACCATAGTCAGTAGCCTGACACTGTTATTTGTACATGTTGTAATGGAATGTCCCACACTCCCTATCACCTATTATTTATATAGTGAGCACAGGATATACCTTGGGGCTTGCTTCAGGAATTATTAGCCTGCCACCTGATTCCATGTCTTTTAGTAATGTATTCTCTTTTACAATAAACCTCTCTTTCATCTAAGTGTATGTTGCTGTTCTTTCACTTGAGTACCACCTTTGTTTGTAATCTCTTTAAGGATACAACACTATCAATCTATCTATACAAGTTTCTTCATATCTATCTATCTATCTATCTATCCCAGGCTCTTCAATATCTATCTATCTATCTATCTATCTATCTCAGGCTCTTCATTATCTATCTATCTATCTATCCCAGTTCCTTCACTTGAGTATCACCTTTGTCTCTCTGTAACCTTCTTTAAGGATACAACAATACACCTGGTGGAAAACATATCATGCTCAAACCTCAATGTCAGTAGTTACTCATTTTCTTCCTATATGACACAATCTAATTTATTTATAAATAAATGAATGAAAAAATAACTTAGCAAAGTTAGTCTATTAATAATCATGTTTTTTTTTTATGTCTCCTGCTGCAGACATTATTATGGATTTTTTTTCTATCTTGTCATCTTGACTTTTGCCAGTCATTGTCCGTTATTATTTTGTTTGTTTTTTTTTTCATTTCTTGCAGGAAAGATACGATGTTGCATTTGTAAAACAAATCTACAGCTGCATATTAGTCACTGCAACAGACGTGGTGAACGGCGTTGGCAAAAAAGAAAAATGCCTCCGGGTGCAATACAGTTCCAAAGAAGAGTTCAAAACGTTCGCCAAGCAACTTGGAACAATGGATGACCTCAAGGTCAGTTGTAAAGCTTGCTTTGAATCTTTAATCATTATTCTTCTTCTATGTGATGTGTCACTTCAGGGCATAGGCAATCATGGCTCTCCACAACTTTCTATCCCATGTGGCTCTTAGCAGTTTTTTTTCCCTTTGCTAAGAGCCCTGGCTCATCATCCATTCAAACAAGCTTGTCAGGTGAGTGGCTTGCTACCTTCCCCTATCTCTCTTGCCATCAATATGCCCTGTAAGGGTTAAGTTTTCCAAGCCTTCCTTCCTCATTATCTGTACAAGGGATTTCAGCTATAGTCTTCTGCTTCTGCCATCCATTCAATCAAGCTCATCAGGTATGTGGCTCACTGCCTTCCCTACCTCTACTGCTCTCAATATGCCCTGTGAGGGTCAAGTTTTCCAAGCCTTCCTTCCTCATTATGTGTACAAAGGATTTTAGCTATCATTTCCTGATTCTGTCATCCATTCCAACAAGCTCATCAGCTAAGGGGCTCATTGCTTTCCCCCATCTCTTTTGTTCTCAATATACACTGTGAGGGTTAAGTTTTCTGAGCTCTCCTTCCTCACTATGTGTTCAATGAATTTCTTTTACTGATTCTGAGTAGAACTGTTCTCTCTGTTACTATTTTCTTTGTGACTTCCTCGTTGCTTACTCACTCCATCCATGGAACTCTCAGTATCCTTCTGTAGAACCACATTTCTGTTACCTTCAGTTTTCTCCTTATCCATGAATGGTTGACCAGCATTCATTGCCAAGAAGAGGATGGATATCACATAGCAATCCAGCAACTCTTTGCTTTGTTTCTAACAGATACTTTTCCTTTCTCAGCACATTGCTTAGCTTTTGTCATGCTTCTTTTGCTAGTCCAATGTGTGTTTGGATCTCACATTTTCCATCCTCTGTTAAAAGATTTCCCAGATATTTGAACTTCTGAACCTGCTTGATGTTTTTATTTCCAACTTGCAACTCACATTTTGGGCTTTTTCTCTTGCTGATGACCATACTTTCTGTCTTCTTGCAATTGATAGTTAGTCCTTTTACTACCCTCTCTCGGAGGTTCAGTAGTTTCTTTTTTGAATCAGCCATCAGAGCAGTATCATCTACATCATACTTATTATAAAACCCAGGTTGTGTGTGTGTCTGTTCGTTTATATATTGGATCATATTTCCTACATTTTTCAACCGATTTCAACAAAACTTCACAGGACTACGTAAAATTACCTTGCAGTGGTTCTGACAGCGCCAAAAATTGGAAAAACACAATTGTTTTTGCACGAAATCAATTTGAAAACACGATTAAGAGTCATCACTATGAGAATGAAAGGGGGACAACTCATATCGAGTTATACTTATAAAACCCAGGTTGTTTGTGTGTGTGTGCGTGTGTTCATTTATATATGGGATCGGATTTCCTACATTTTTCAACCAATTTCAACAAAACTTCACTTTTTTTTGGCAGGTAGTGTTTCTTATTGTCTTGCACACTTTTTTCTTTATTTTTACATTCAAAATGCTTTAAAAATTCCATTTACAAGACAATTGTTTATAATAAAATTCCATCCAATCGGTAGACTCATAACGATTGAAAACAATGTTTTTGTTTGAGTTTGGGTTTGACCAATTCGTAAAAAAATTAAGACGTGTGTCCATCAACCTTAAAGAATAATCTTTGTCAATGTTATTTTTCAGTCTTTATGATGGTCGATACTTGATCTATCTCTTACTGTTACATTCCTGGGCAATGCCGGGCTCTACTGCTAGTATTTTATATTGCTAAGATTACACCCACTGATATTAAATCCTGGTAGGGTCTCCAGTTCCTTTTGGATAGCGCAAATGTAGGAGTTGAATAAATCTGGGGAGAAGACACATCCTTGTCTTACATCCCTTTTTATTTTTGTATAGCTACTCAATTCATTTTCTCTCACTATGCAAGTGGTTCCCTTCCATTATAAGGTCTGGATTATTCTAACATCTTTTCCAAATAGATTGAATTTTACTAGCAGCCCAAATAAATCTTTATGCTGTGCCTTGTTAAAAGCATTTTTGTAATCTATAAATCATAAGTGAACATCCCCCTGCACCTGGATTGCTCTCTGTGATATCATTCTAATTATAAATATTGCATTTCTTGACAAAACCACACTCTTCTGGTCCTATTTCTGGTCTAATTCTACTTGTCGCTATATTCATCAGGATTTGGATAGCATTCCTGTGTGGCTCATTGAGATGATTGTTTAGTGGAACATTCATTCATTTGCAACTAGCTTTTTGGGGAGTCTTTTGAATTTCTACCACTTATTCTTACATTCATGTCACACGTCGCATTCAGTAATCCTCTACCTTGAGGGGCTCTCGAGACTGGTATTGTGTGCAATTTAGTAAAATAGATAAAAAAACAATGGTATACTACCTTATGAAAATTGAGATGCAGTACAGTGAGAGGCTCTGTATCATAAAGTCAAGTGGGGCCAACAAGACCCTTGGACTAGCCCTCTGCACATCCCTTTGAACCTGGATTGCTCTCTCTGATATCATTCTGATCATAAACATTGCATTTCTTGTTCCAGTATCCTTGACAAAGCCACACTTTTTTGTCCTATTTCCGGTCTAATTCTGCACTATATTCATTAGTTTGGTTATTGTAAGATAATCACAACGGCAATCATAGTAGTAATTCTCAATTACTTTATTCTTGTACCAACGAGATACAAATACAAAAATATATCTGGCCCCTGGCCAGTCAGTTATTTATATAACACTGAACATGGTAACTTATGTCTGCCTGTGGAAGTCTCCCATTATCTAATTTGACCTTCCATTTCTACTCTATATGCCCGCTTCCTCCTCTGACCACTGGACGGTTTTCCGAAGAAAATATGTGTGCTATTGTCCTTGTTTTTGTGGGGATAGAGTTTGAGATGCTCACATGTTTTGATGTGGGCATTAACTTAGGCTTGTGTCATCCTATATTGGTGTTCTCCAATGTTATTTTGTATTAAGCCTACTGAATCCACAGTGTCATCAATTTCTATTTTTTCTGGTTCATTACTCACAGTATTTGGTTTATGTTGTATGTTGGGTGATAAGGGTTTATAATCAGTGTCGATCACCATAGAGAATTCACTAGGTCACTACGGCTGGACCCCCAGAACCTGCAGAGGTATTATACGGTTCTGACCTAGATCTGGTTAATCTATTTTCCATGTTGCTGTCTTGAACTGGCTGTAAATCAGGGTACCATGAAGTTGAGAAACCTGCTCCTTGGGTAGAATGATGTGAGACTTCAACAACTGGGTGGATTTTATGGAGGAAGCAAAATTGTGTAGAGTTACCTGATTCCTTCCATCTACTGTACACAGTACTGCCTGTTACTGAGTATCTCTACGACTCTCCGTGTTTTTGTCCACCGATGAGGGTAAAGGCCATTTTGATTCTGGATCTGAACAGAATCACCAATTTGTAATTCTCAAAATGGGCCACAATGTTCATTTGTAAAAGTGTTCATTCTACATGTGCCTTTTAGCCATTGCTGCATCTCTCAGTTCACTAATTTCTCTCCATTGTTTACGTATCTGGTATTTGTCCTATAACATGACCATATAACATCATAGCAAGAGACATGCCAAGATCCTGGATGGGAGTGTTGCATTTGGTCAGCAAAGCACAGGTTGCACGATCAGGACACAGCGAACCACAGCTGTCCATGTTGTCTGCAAGTATACATTTAGCTGTTTTGATGGCTAGTTCTGCCCAGCCATTGCTTTGTGGGTAGTAAGCCAACAAAGTATGTTTCCATATTCCCCAATTCTTAAGGAACAAGTTTTATTGTTGGGAATCAAAATGTGGTCCCCCCCTCCTCTAAGGATCTTATGGGGGTATGCTGTGTTGAGATTTATAGAAGCTGGTTTTTGGGTACTTGTAGAGTGTGCTCACAGGTCTGCTAGCCCTGAACGCTGTCTTTCCAATAAACTGATCTATTCTCAGTAGTCACTGTAAACTCCAGACCAAATAAGCTTGAAATACATTCATAAAATGAAACGGTAGAGGTCATCAGTGATGTTACTCTGGCTTCATTACGGATTTCGGATATTGCAATATCAGATCCGTTCTTCCAGGTACCCCGACCTGTTGACAAGCTTCCTCTTTGCATAATTCACTTCATGATGTGCTTTTTTAAAACAATTATTATATCAGGTGGTAGATCTAGGACCCATTTTAAATGTGAATTAAGTTTAAGCATCTAATGGTTTTTTTTCTTTTTCTTTCAGATTTGGCAGACATTTGGGCAATATTATTTTTCACATACAATTGCCATGACTTAAATAATATGATCCAATTGAGAAATAAATAAATTTTCACATAATTACACTGATTTATTTACTGTTTGTCCAACTTAATGAAACACCCTTATATATAATCCGTCTTAATGAAACACTCTTTATAAGACAACTGTTGGCTTCAAGCAAATGGAGGTGTTTTGGCCTTTTTTATTTAATTTTGACAGGTCTTTGACAGCTTAAAGCAAAACCTGCAGTTCTGAGAATTTTGTCTTTATTCTGAAAGGATTATAACAACTATGCAAAAGGTTGGGTTTTGGTTTATTCCAAAATGTTTTTGACATATTGAATTGAGGCAAAAGAATAGATTTTGACAGTTTTTGTTCCAAAGGGTTTTTGACAGTTATTAGCCTGAAGCAAAGGTAGTTTCATTCCAAAGGGGTTTTGGTAACTGTTCAACCTTACTTAGAAGATTGAGGTTCACATTACACTTAAAAGAAAACCAGTTTACTAATTATGGTAATAAAGATGTGGTATCAGGTTTACTCTTCAGAAAGAATTTATATGAGGTGTAAGTAAAATTATCTAATGTTTAAAAATAAAAATGTTCTCCCATGTGTATTCAAGGTTAAAATAATTAGACTCTATGAAGAATTTCTATTTTTTTTTTTTTTTCTTCATTCATAAATAACTTTTATTCACTTATTTTTTGTCTTTTGCAGGCTGGTGTTCCTCGAGGTGGCTACCGTGGCGTTGTGAGTATCATGTACCAAGGTCGACGTGTTTACTTGGCACCCCCAGAGACATGGTCAGGGTATGATCCAACCTGGAACTAATAAAGTACCATTTCTTATACCCCTCCAAAGACTTCAATAAAATTCAAGAAATGATATTAGAAAAAGAAAATATTCATTCATTCACACACACACACACACACACACACACACACACACACACACACACACACAAAATAAAAAAAAAATTTAAAAAAATGAAAGCAATGAATCCAACAATTGTAATTATTTGTATGGATACAATTGCTGCTCCACCACCCAGATGTCTGAGTTAGACGGGGTGGTCGACTGCAAAACCAAGCCCCAAAATTGCAAGGCAGATACAATGCTGACTCCTGCAGTTTCTGTGGCCAGAATTACTGGTTGTCACGTCTTTTGGTGGTGCCGAGATACCAAAGAAATCAAAACGGAAAAAACAGCCTAAAGAGATTCTGCAATTCTTGATACCATTTTCCAAGATGAAAAGAAAGAAAGAGAAGAAAAAAAACAACAATGGCTGGGGGTTTATTGCATATTTTATACATAAGGGGAAACTCAATTCTGATTTTGTTTAACTTTTTAAAAGTATTTTCTTTTGTTTTAATTATTGCTCTGTTTGTTATGCCATCAATTACATAAATCTGTTATTTTCCTCCTCCTCTTACTCCCACTCTACTTGTTGGAGAATAAATGCTTTTTATTAATCCCCAATGAGGTTAGAGGAGGTGGTTTATGTAATTGGTTTATTGTAACTCTATGCATCAGTTTTCATTAACTTTTGGGATTTTTTTTTTTCAAGTGGGCCTCATATTCCAAATGCACTTCAACATTATAAGCTTAAATAACAATAAATAATACTACAAAATCATTTTTAAAATTTAATAACTTAGATATCTTTCATTTGGAATTGAAAAGAAATGGTAAATCTGATTTTGCAATGAAAAATGCCCATTATATCAAGATGAGAAAATTCCAATACGTTTTTTTTTTAATTAAAATAAATCTTTTCTGTAAACTCTTTAACTATTTCTCTGAAGAAAGTATATTTGAATTATGAGGTCAGTTAAAAAATTACATTTTTTTTTTTTTTCTTTGTTGGTTCATGGGCTACGTGTATGTTTGTGTATGTTCATGTGCATCTCTGTATCTGTGACACGTGTATCTGCATTTAAGGGGGGGGGGTATCATTGAAATACCTTGGTATTGATGGTAGGGATGGTTGCTCATATGATAAAGAGCTTTCTTTACGTTCCTGGCTATGTTCATTTATTGATTTTTTTTTTTAGTTCCCCTTTGCCCAACCCACTGAAAAGACACTCTTGTTGGTCAGTTGATTCTGGTAGTTAAACAAGGTACCTACATAGTAATAAAGTCTATTTGGTATGTTATAAATAAAATAAAATTTACACACCCAGAAAGTATGAAGAAAATTAGGAATCAAGCAAATTTTGGGGTGTCATCAATATTGGATTAACAAACAGGAGTCGTGTTTGCTTTTACACACACACACACACACACACAATTTAATTTGCTTCAAAATTTTCTAAATTGAATATTGTGCACCTACAAACAGGTTTCTTGAGAGTTAGCTCCCTTCAGCTTAAAATAGCTTTCTAAACAAGTCATATATACAAATGCATTATTGTAGTACACTACAGTGATTCTTAACCGCCGTGCTTCAGCACACTAGTGTACTGTGAAATATTTTCATGGCATACATACTGTTATGGTCCGGTTCCTTGTACCACGGTGACAGTCCAAGGTAGAACCAATAAAGAAGAACTCGAATACGGATATGGAACAACACAGATATATTACAAACAGGAATATATACAGAGAAGTAGAAAGTGTTAGTACGAACAATCAGGTTTAGTAGTTATTGTCTGAACGCGACTCTGTTTCGGTCTGCCTCTGACTCGACTGACTGACTCGCTCGCTCTGACTGACAGACAGACTTCTGACGGACCTCACTCCAGACTTCAGACTGAACTCCCTGCTTTCTCTTGAGGCACAGTATTTATTACGTATGGAATAGTCCATTATGTTATTATGGGTAAGGTCCCATAACACATACACATATATGTGTGTGTGGAAATAGTAATGGTACAGTGTTAGTATTCAAATAAATGAATAAGTATTAAACATTTTTCAAATAATCCTTTTCACTATTCTCTCATTATGTTATTTTAAATACTTTGTTTTAAATCTATGATTTTATTTCATAATATTTACAGGCATAGCCTTTAAAAATTTTGCTAAGTGTGCCATGATATTTTAATTTGTTCATAGGTGTGCCTTTGCATAAAAAGGTTAAGAAACACTGTTATAGTAATCCACATTTTATATACAGACAAACCTCTCATCAATGGACTAATATGGGGGAGGGGTGGTCCGTTAAAGCTGATTGTCCATAGATCGAAAGGGATTTTTTTAATTATAAAATCACTATAGTAACTAGCAGTACTAATGATCATAATGTAAATAATGTAAACATGTATATATGGCATAAATAAATATATACTTAATATAGATATATTAATCAAAATAACTGAAATAATAGATTTCTCACAGCTACTTTCTCTCACACATGCTAATGTATTGTACTTTACATACTGTACACCCGTTTTTGTTTACAATTGAAAGGATTGCCAAGTGGTCACTTTGAGAATTAATATAACTTGTTCTGCTAAGCTCGCAAATTTTTAAATACGTCACTGACAATTTGAAAGTTGTTTTTTTTCTGCAGATATTTTTTTTTATTTTTCCTGCAGATTTTGTTGGTTGCATTTAAAGTCTGTTCATGGGGGGCGGGGGGCGGTGGTCAGTAGGTGAGAGGTTGGTCTGTATATATATATATATATATATATATATATGTATATATGACAAACTGGAAAGGTTTTTTGTGATGCATTTAAAAACATCTTTCCAGTTTGTCATATTTTTCTAAATAGTGTTTGTTGATATATAAAATTATACAAAATTATATATATATATATATATATATATATATATATATATATATATGCATGTGTGTATGTGTGTGTGTTTATTTGCCTCAAAAGTATCTAAAATGAAAATTGTACATCTGCAATTTGTAAAGAATAAATGGATCTTATTTTTTAATCCGACATATTTTTATTATTTCAAACGTTATTTCCAGTGGATACCTATATTTGAGTGGACGCTAACAAACATAAATAAACAAACATGAGCATCCAATTGAAACAACATTTGAAGTAATAAAAACATTGAACACTACAAACTGGTATCTCCAGAGTTAGCTCCCTTTGCCTTAAAATAGCTTTCTCAACAAGTTATATGCAAAAGTAATATTGTAATACACATTATTATATATACACACAGACCTGATCATACACACACACACACACACACACAAGTGATCACACACATGTGTGACTTTTCTATATTTATAAGAAAATATTTAACTAAAAGAATGATTTTCGTATTTTATACACAAATACAAGGAGACGTGCTTCCGTATGCCCATCAGCAGTTTATATGCCTCTTAAGTTTGCCGTCTATGTTTCAAAACTGGTTAGAGGGGAATTTTAAATGCTAAATTTCATAATTGGTCCAGACCTTCTTTAATGACACTATACAATCTTACATTATATGTGAACACGAACATATGCAACACAGAAATAAATGACTTTGTTTGATACTTGCATTTATATGTACACACAATCACAAATAAGTATGTGCAAATGCATATATATGCTCACGCACACACACATGTTGAATATATGGAATAAATATGACAGAATGATTAAATAAGGAAGAAATTTTGTCATAATGTAGCTTCCCTGTGCCTTTTCTATAAATACTTTCATGGCAATTGTTCTGATGAATTTTCCTCTGTGGTAACTAGAGTTTATAATTTTAAGCACAGTACTAGATTGGCAGATAGGTCTCATAATTTTACATTTGAAATATTTAGATGTAACTGTAAGTTCTATGCTAACAATGTCCTTTTTGTTCCCATTTTCCTTTAAATTTCCTCATTACTAGATTACTCCTAAATGATTAATCTTCTCTTTTCCTAAATCCTGTTCTTTTATTGTCCTTTCTATTAACTAAAGTCTTCTCATTCTCTTTCACACTCAGTAACCCCTTGTGGCTTTATTGCCTTGCTTGGGGTGAAATGATTAAAAAATGTTCTTACTGTCTAAATATGCATGATAGCTGTCAACTGGTTAATGAGTATGACCATCACTGACAATTTTGATCCATTGTTATACATTGCACCAAGTAAAAAGAATAAAAAACAGTTGCATAAATATACACAGAAAAATCCTTGAAAATGAATGTAGCCACATTCAAAAGTACTTGGAAAATTTACCGATAACATAAAACAACTAATTTGGAAATTTTTAAAAATTACTAAAAAAATTGGTATACAGAACTTGTCAATATTATTCAACCAAACATGTTTGAAAATATATATATAATGAACTTTGCAGCAATGAAAAGTGCATATATATATATATATATATATATATATATATGAAATATAAACAGTCAATTGATTGCTGATACCCCTGACGAGTGGATGGAGTGATTGCTGGAGAGTCCTTCTATGAAACTCTAGAGACGGGATGCTGAAGGTAACATCAATCAGCTGAATGACAAACAAACTTTATATTTGCATTAGTTCACACACACACACACACACACACACACACACACAATGGAATGTCCACACATATACATATATATATTGGTGCATAGAAATGTCTTCCATCTCTGTATAATGTTTATAGACTTGTTACTATCAGTATTTACTCAGTTTAATCTGGCCCAAGCTCTCAAGTGGGGCATCTGGTTAAGATGGGACTCACTCCAATTATAATGGTGTTGGAGGTGAGCTTGTTAACCATTACACAATGGTGATATACTCAATTGACCTGTTGTAATTAAGAGGCTATCAACCAAAAAAAAATAATTAAGTCTAGCTTGAAGGAGATGCATTGATCTTGTTCGTTTTTACACTCGTTTCTTTTAATTATAATATAAAATTAAAAGTTTTTTCGGACAATTCAACT